AACGAGCATTAATCACAGCAGAGCCGTTAATGAACGGGATATTACTCAGTTAAGAAGCAAGAAAATGGGAGAAAAAAAAAACAAAAACACGAGAAACACCTTATTTAATTAAGAGGAAATCCAGATTGACAATGACTGCAGCACTGACGGGAATCCGGCAGATTGATTTTACTACAGATTTATTTGTAGGCTTTACAGATATTTTTTAGGGAATAACACGACAGTGTATTCGTTCTTTGACAAACGTATCTCTGGTCACTAATAATACGTTGTTGGACAGTCATTAACTAATTGACCTGCAGTGAAATAAGCTGTAAATGTTAGAACAAACTTTGTCTTTTTCCAACCCTCAGTTTAAAACTCTGCCCTGTAAAAGTGAATTGAACCTCTGATGTTTTGTTTGACATTAACCTGGAGAAGTGTCGGGCCGTGTGTCGCGGGTCAGAAGCCACTGAGGGGAGGGGGTGGTGGGTGGTGGGTGGGGGTGGTTTGCTGGTACAGTATTAGTTTGCACATGGACTCCACGAGAAGAGTTCTTGGTTAATGCAACAGATGCCCTGGTGGTCAAAAGATCCAATTCCCCCCCCCCCCCCGGACAGAAGGGAGATAGGGAGGGACAGACGGCCTCTGGGCCCCTTTGAGGGGTCCAAACAAAAACACTCCTTTCTCCTAAGCCCCTGATGCCTGAGGCTTTGTCTTCTCTGGAAACCTGCCACTAAGATCAGCACTGAAGTGGCCGAGGGTGAGCTGCAGCATCATTGTTGGATGCATTTGAAAATTAATTGGACTACATCACTGTGTGCTGAAAATGCTCATGGTGGGACGTTGTTTTTTTGTGTGTCACATCACAGTGGCAACATTAGCAAAAAAAAAAAAGCAACAAAATCAGCAAAAAAAATCATCACATTTTTAGAAAAATCTTATTTCCTGACCAGATCTACCTGGTGAGCACTGACTCGGGGAGTTACAGGTAAAAAGATTTCTATCTAGATTAAATCTGGACTAAATCTGTTTGTTTTTTTCAGCAGATGTCTTGGTTACATATATGACCATNGAGAGAGAGAGAGAGAGAGAGAGAGAGAGGAGTAGATACTTAACAGACCAGGTGTGTGGCCACATGAAGATGGACAGGACTAAACATGGGGGTGTCTCAGGCATGTTTTGAGAATGGAAGCCCAGACTTGACCTTTGGGAACATTAAGTATTCCCAAAGGTCAACGCCCACCTTCTTACTTTTTTTTTTTACTGAGCTTTCAATTCCACCTCACAGTCTTCTACAAACTCCATCTGTCAAGGAAGACTGAGATGTTATTGAAAGTTTATAAAAGTTAAAACTAAGTTGTTTTTTTTCTCAGTGGTGTAAGTTTACATGTTGCTTTAGCATTTCTGGGGTGCATCTGCAGAGGGGTGGGGCTTAGTGGTGTTCACTGCTGACTGCCAGGGTTTTGTTTATGATACTTTTTTGGCCACTTGTTTGTTTGTTTGTTTGCAGCAGAATTAGCAGTAACCACAACACCGACATATAATATTATTACCTTTTAAAGTTGTGAAAGCTAACATGCTAGCAAATTTCAAATCACTCTTCACATTAATGCTCATTTGGAGTCATGTTTGTGGCCACCTCACAAATACACTGCACCATCTAACAAATATCCTTAAGCCTCACTATAACTAACTACAGGTAAAATGTGCTTGAATTAACCGACCATAGAAGTTTTTTATCCCTAAACCTCCTATAAGATCCACTGGTTAAGGTTATGGAAGGGACATGGTTTGGTACAAGACAGTGGTTTGGGTTCAAATAATTACTTCATTGAGGTTAGAGGACCTTCATAGTCATGGTTACAATAATAAACACACAGTAAAGGTTCTGGTTAAAAGAAACAATGCTGAGAATTGGGTTGATACAGGAAATGAACCCATCCATCCACTCCTACTTCCTCCCCACATGGACTTTCTCGATCTATAGACAACATCACATGACTTGCCCTTTTGTTCCTGTGAGGTCCCCAAACAAAACAACAGAGCTGCTGCACAGACGATCTATGAGGTCGTTTTTTTATGGGCGGACATTCTTGACAGTCAGAAATCAACATAACATGATATGATACATATGTTGTCTGTGCCTGTTCGCAAAGGTTTATAAACATTTAAGATCAATTGTGTTTATGATTTATCAATCAGATGTTGATTCTCCTGTTTTCACTGAGTGGTGGAAACACAAAAAGGGACACCGCATCTTTTCATAATGGAGGTACTGGACAGTTCTCTCCAAGATTTTTAAGGTTTAATTTGAGTGCTAAGGATCACTGCCACTCTCCCGGTGACACAGAGTCTGTGTTTTCTAGAATAAAATGGATGAAAATATATCTGTCCTTAATCTGAACGTAACACTGAAGTTGTGACTGCATTGTGAGAAATTTCAGCAGTTAAAAACAATCGAGCTAAAACCCAAGATGGTTCCTTTACGAACAGACTCGTGGTCATTTTGACTGCTGAATAAACTCCTTGCTCATTTTTCTTCCCTGGTTATTATTCCACTGTCTTCGCTGCCGTCCACATGGCCAGATCTCTGCCCCGACAAGTTCAAAAGGACTGCGCCTCCCCCTGACCGAGAGGACAACAGATGCCGCACGCTGCCTGCTTGAAACGGAGCCATTAATCACAGCAGAGCCGTTAATGAACGGGAATTACTCAGTAGAGCAAGAAAATGAAGAAAAAAAAAACAAAAAACAGAAACACCTTATTTAATTAAGAGGAAAATCCCAGATTGACAATGACTGGCAGCACTGAGGGAATCCGCAGATTGATTAACTACAGATTTTATTTGTAGCTTTACAGGATATTTTTTAGGGAAACACGACAGTGTATTCGTCCTTTGACAAACGTATCTACGGTCACTATAAATACGTTGTTGGAGTCATTAACTAATTGCCTGCAGTGAAATAAGCTGTAAATGTAGACAAACTTTTCTTCAACTCAGTTTAAACTCTGCCCTGTAAAAGTGAATTGAACCCTCTGATGTTTTGTTTGACATTAACCTGAGAAGTGTGGGCCGTGTGTCGCGGGTCAGAAGCCACTGAGGGGGAGGGGGTGGTGGGTGGTGGGTGGGGGTGGTTGCTGGTACAGTATTAGTTTGCCACATGGACTCCAGAGAGAGGTTCTGGTTAATGCAACAGATGCCTGGTGTCAAAAGTCACATTGCCCCCCCCCCCCCCGGACAGAAGGGAGATAGGGAGGGACAGACGGCCTCTGGGCCCCTTTGAGGGGTCCAAACAAAAACACTCCTTTCTCCTAAGCCCCTGATGCCTGAGGCTTTGTCTTCTCTGGAAACCTGCCACTAAGATCAGCACTGAAGTGGCCGAGGGTGAGCTGCAGCATCATTGTTGGATGCATTTGAAAATTAATTGGACTACATCACTGTGTGCTGAAAATGCTCATGGTGGGACGTTGTTTTTTTGTGTGTCACATCACAGTGGCAACATTAGCAAAAAAAAAAAAGCAACAAAATCAGCAAAAAAAAAAAAAAAAAAAGCAACAAAATCAGCAAAAAAAATCATCACATTTTTAGAAAAATCTTATTTCCTGACCAGATCTACCTGGTGAGCACTGACTCGGGGAGTTACAGGTAAAAAGATTTCTATCTAGATTAAATCTGGACTAAATCTGTTTGTTTTTTTCAGCAGATGTCTTGGTTACATATATGACCATAGTGGTGAAGCCAAGTAATGAGCAGTGGTAGCCATGAAACCACTGACTGAAGCCAGTCTTTGCCTTTCATTTATGTGTTGTGGTGATTTTGTCAGATGATGTCACAGTTATAAAATCAGGATTTGACCAACAAATAAGCTTAAGTCAGACTACTTTATCCTTTAACATGATCTACTGGACAGGGCAACCCCTCGCAATCGCTTTGTGAAGCTCATGTGATTATTATGGGAGCGGGGGAGGAGGGGGGGGGGGCATAAAGTGGATATTTTATCATTGTATAAATTGTAAGATCATTTCTTTTTTAAGAACATTTGGTTGAATATCAGGATATCGGCTCAATATCAGTGAAAATATACTGTTCCCAATCAATGAGCTAGCTGATTAACAAACTTTTGAACATTTTCCTTTTAAAGTTTCAACTTAAATACTTAGGAATTAATATTACAAAAAATGTCAGATGTATATCAGGAGAACTTCTTAAAATAAACCAAGTATCACAGGATCTGCAGATATGGTTCCATTTTAGCTCAGTCAAACCCAGAGATAGCTGCAGATACACTCAGGACTCGATGATCCGGGCTCCTGTATAAGTGTATGTGCAGGTCTAGACGTGCAGGTGACAACTCACGCTTATCAGCTGATATTCAAACAATGGCAGGTTGTGTGTTAAGACTTCTCGACATGGATGAGTGAAGGAAAAACAGGAACATCAACATTACGACATGTTAAAATGTTTTTTGAATTCATTTTATCATTAAAATCTGTGTCTGGTTTCACTTATGTGGGCTGCTGCTGCTCCTCCTGGTTTTATGGGACAGTTACGATTATGTGATGACAATCAGCTCTGTTAAAGTAGCTGAGTCAGCATTAACATCAGCTTTTATAAAAAAAAAGAAAAGAAAAGAAAAGAAAAAACAACTAAATTCAGATTTAATACTAGAATCACCTCCTCGTGGTCGGATCCCTCCGCCACTCAGTTTCAGATTACATCCCTGTTTATCCAGTCAGAGAAAATATGAACCATTTGTGTGAAATTTTGGCATAATTGCTGAGTCAAGACTGAGATATTGCATTCACAAGGCCAAAACCGTGTTTTGTCAAGTCACCGTGACCTTGACCTTTGACCTTTAACCCCTAAAATCTATTCAGTTCATCCTTCAGTCCTAGTGAAAGGACAGACAATCCGTAAACAACATCCCTCCGGCTCTGGCTGTCGCTGGCGTGGAGGCATAAAAAACTTTTTCACAATAAATTTCACAATTCAAATACTTTATTTGAGCTGTATATAATATACAAGATGTCTATTTATCAATAAAAATTAAAGTCCAGCACAGATTCCCCAACAGGAAGAGACAAACAGCTGGTTTCACAAAGTACAAACAAAACAAAAACATGACAGATATATTTATGAATATATTAATCTTTCTAAACAGTAAAATATAAAAAAGTAACATGATTTGTTCCTAAACAGATCAGCTTTAAGTTCCAAGATTATTAGTCCTTAAATTCATATTTTGCTCTGTACCTACATGTTTGTATCAGTACATACTCCATTTGTACAAATAAACATTACAAACTATAATGCAAAGCCTAAAGTTAGCAAAAATTTAAAGTGATACAGTTTTGATAAAAAGAGAAAAGGCTAATCATTGAATCAATCATGAAAAACAGAAGCTAAGTAAAATTAATTCACTTATTAACAGGTCAGATACAAAAAGCAAATTGTCAAACTAAGTAACAGCAAACAGGAAATAAGAAATTAAATTCAATGATGTTTCCCTTTATGTAAACATATCTTAATATAATCATCCTCTTTATCGCTAACTGTTCTCTTCCACTGTCACAGACACACTCATTGGAAAGAGCTTCACTGAGAGGTGATCGCCATTTAAAATGAATGGAAACATCCTCTCGGTGAAAGTGTGTGTGAAGGTGTGTATATGTGTGTGAGTATCGGGATCAGAGAATGACAGCTTTCCTCTGTTCCAGTCCAGATTCACTCTGACCCTCTGGAGCTTCCTCTGCACTCGGAGAACGGTGGGCGAAGCTTTCGGTGACCACGCCGAGTATTCGCCTTCAGACAGCCTTATTCTCCAGCATCCAGTCTGTCCGCGCACCTTCCTCTGGAATGACTCTCTTAAAATGCCCAGTGTCCAGCGTGCACTTTCTCCAACCTCGACGTCCCAGCTGTGACTCCCCGAGTTAAAACCCTCCGAGCCCAGGACGATGAGGCCGATGAACCTCTCCGGATTGTCGGGAAGTGGCTGTTCCCATCCTCGACTCACACTGGTCAGATCTTCAGACAGGTGGAATCTGGGATGAGCAGTGTTTGGGTCCAGAACCACGGGACTGTAGGAGACCATGCACTTCATCTTGTTGTAGATCTTGAACGTCAGGTTGCCCAGGTGTTTGGCCTGGTCTATCAGAGCTCCCGGGGGCAGCTGTGGATCCTCCAGCAGGGGGCGCTGCTGGAGGCTGTCCACTGCAGCATCGTAGTTGAGCACGAGCGAGACGTCATCGGCTCTCAGGTCGTCCTCTGCGGCTCTGACCGTCTCTGAAAGAGCTGCCATCTCTCTGCTCAGAGCCTCCATCTTCTCCTTCATCATCCGACTCTTCTGCTCCTCTTCATCCCTCAGAGCAGTGATCCTGGCCTCCTCTTCCTCCTCTAGAAACTGGTGAAGCTTCTTAAACTGCTCCCTAATCTGCTTCTCTGTGTCTCGGGCCTGGACCCTAATGTAGTCTGCTAATTGATCACAGTTCCCTCTAGCTTGTTCAAAACCCTTTAACTTCTTCTTTAAGGGCTCCAGAGTTTCCCGAAATTTCATCCTTTGTTGTCGAGCAACTTCATCAATGGGTCTGAATCTGTGGCTGCTGTGTTTTACTGAATCCCTGCAGATGAGACACACTGGCTGCTGATCGTTCAGACAGAAGAGTCTGAGTTTCTCAGAGTGCAGACTGCAGAGACCCTCTGAATGTTTCCTATCTCTCTCCTGTGAGAAGGCCTCACACAGGTTCCTTAAGACCCGATTCAAAGGTGGTTCTATCTTTGAAGATCTTCTCTTACAAAATGGACACTCTTGTGTTGGTTTCTCTCTCCACCAGCTCTTCAGACAGTCTTTACAGAAGCTGTGGCTGCATGACAGAAGAACAGGGTCTCTGAAGACCTCATGACAAATCGCACAGCAGAACGCCTCCTCTAATCCGGAAGCCATTTAGTCTGAGTGAAGCTGAAAACACAGCAGAACAGAAAGCACAGTCAGTCGTGGCTCCCCACCTGACTTTACTAAAAAATTCACTTTCTGAGTCGTGGTTTTTGTCAAACTCACCTTCAGTGTGTGGAGTCTCAGCAGGTTGAAGCAGCAGTGTCTCTCCTGTAGCTGGACTCACTCAGAGGAAGTTGTTAGTTTGGTGTGCAGAGGAATCTGATCAACTGTTTTTCAACCAAGCAACTCTTTAGTGATGAATGATAACAATCTTTTTCCTGGTTTGTCTCGGGTCAGGTGAGGGGCGGAGCTACGTCAGACAACATCTGAAAAACATCTTTTGTTCCACAGGGGTGTTTTTCATTCCAAAATATTGAATAATTGCTGGAAATGTTGTTGTTGTGTGTCGCAGGCTGCGGCTGCAGCAGCCATCTCTATGTTCAAATGTAACCTGAACCGACCTTGAATCAAAAATCTTCACATGGAGCTTCATGTACAAACGTATCAAGAGTGAAACGAAGATGAGAATTTGCTCCAGGCTGCAGCTTCGTGTCTGTCGTACGCACGTCTCCGATGGTTTTACTCAGCTGGCGACGCTCAGAGGTGATGCAGCAAATCTACTAACGTCAGGAACCGGTTTACGAGTCTGTCGGACCGCATGTGAAAACAACTGATTTACACATCACAGAATGCAGCACGTAACAATGGCAGCTTTGGACTTATTAGACGACATAGTGAACGGGAGAATTTAGTGAATGGGTATTTAGAGACCACAACAATATTTGTGGCCCGTTATTAAGACTGGCTTATCAGCTGTTTCATTCCATAAATAATAATAATAATAAAATGTGATGCATGAATGCAACTGAATGCAAATTCAGCCCAGATTTAAACTGCACTTCTGGACCTTTTTAAACCTCTTTCTTTGCAAAGCACAAAACCTGGAGACGCTCAATTTTGTGACAAATTTATCCACTTCAAAACAATTAAGATCAGCCACAAGATTTCCAGTCAGAATGAACCTGGACCTGGAGCTGTGACAAACCCCCCCGCTCAGTCATGTATTCATCAAACCCTGATCCCTTGCAGGTAGTTCAGGCAGTTTCAGCTTCCACATACAAGCTGGTGAAATTAGGCAGATGGCGTTCATTAAAGCAAAAACTCATTATCCACAAAATGTGTAAGTGGACAGAGACACTTGTGCTACAGGCTCTGGAGCTGTGTAGCAAACATGTAAATTAGTTTTAATCATCCTGCTGGTCCTGCCCACGTCCAGGACTTCCAGGAAGTGTCTTGAGTCGTGCAGCTGATTATAGTTGGAGGAAAATCAGGAGGAAACCTTTTCTAAATTGTTTCTAGTTCAACATAATGTCACAATGTTAGTGCAACTTTAAATACCAGTGTGAATTCCAAACTGGTTTCCTTTCATTTCCACTCAAATTAAAACTGTGCTTTTCGCCCAGTCGCCGCAAAATTCATTTGATTGGCGTCAGCTGTACTTCAGCATAAACACTTCCTGTTGCCACAGTGTTGTCCTGTCACTGCTTTTTTGGTTACGCTGTGTGGAAACTGATTGAGCAGCTCGTGTTCCTGGAAGCCGAGGAGAGGGACTGGTTTTGATGGACAGAGGAAGTGCTGCGTCAAACATTCCCAACAGCTCAGAGAGAGAGAGCGACGGACGCTGAGGTTGATCCCTTCAGCTGGACTCCTGCCACCAAACACTGTGACTGGTCATCTGAAACTTGTTGTGACATGTATGGTATTTCACTGCATACTGCTTAACAAACTACAGGTATATAATCAGTGACTAGAAACTGATTCAAAGTTATTCGTGATTTCCACCTCAGGAGGTGTGAAGGAGGAGGTCGGGGGTTGAATGGGTGGGTCTACAAAACATCTGACCTCAGAAGACTGCTGGTCATTTCTCATTTCCAACAAGCAAGTCAGCGCTGGTTTCTTTTAGTCATGACCACGATTGTGCCAGACGTTAGGGTTGCAAATTCGTGAAGGAACTGCCTGAAGACACTCGAGAAACTGAAACAATTTCCTCCGAGCTTACACTTCAGATAAACACAGGGTGTGTCCCAAAATCAGTCATTCACTGCTCTCTACTCAGTATCCAGCGAGTCCAAGGTCGAGGACTCGAGTCATCATCTTTGTGTTTTTCTTTCTTTCAGCAAGAGCACACTGCATGATGGTATATATTGCTTACATCGTGAGTCCCCTGTATAGGGTTTTATAATCCTCACTATACAAATATGGTGAACTCACGGACTGTACAGGGAGTAGTGAGTGATTTCAGACACAGCCAAAGGTTTATAAGTTTTTTAGTGCAAAGATGAGCAACCACACCATTTTATAAACCTTTAAATTATTTATACAAAAACAAACAGTGGCTTCAACCTCTCTCTCATAGAAATAATAGAGTGGACGGACCCGAAGCTGCACTTTTATTTTGTCATTTTTAAACTGTGTGGTTAAGGTGAGAGGCCACCTGTCAAACCCACCACAGCTCAGACTGGAAAAAACATAACACAGAGATTCACCCTGCTGCTGCATCGATATCGGTACTGAACTGAACTTTGAGGCAAAGTTTTACAAATCAAACCTCTGAACCGTTTCTCCTTAGAGTGACAAGTGAACAAGGAAACTAGACCCACAGGCAGGCGGGTGCAGTGGTGATTGGGAATGGTGACTTGGACCGGAGGGACAGTTTGGAGAAACCTGGTGGCTCTTAACCGCCCCATGTTTAATGTCACAATGCTATGAACTGTGGGTAATTCCCTCAGGCAAAGTCTGTCAAAATGCTCACTTAAGGAAAGTGCACATAAAGGGCTCGAAATGTCTCCTAGAAAGCCCTCATGGCAGGAACGTGCTTTAAAGTCTGTGAGTCTGTGAGTGTGGGACAGTGTGGGTGCAGCCCAGACAGGAAGTGGTTGTATTGTGTCCCCAACAACAGAACCTTTAGGGTTATCTCCCTGCAGGGTCAGCCAGACATCTCTCCGACGCCGTCTCTGAGCAGTGACCCACTGACAAAGAGGAAGTATGGAACTGCGTAAAAATAGCTGGTGTTTCTGTGTGTACTGCCTTTAGTTTGAGCTTCTTTCACGATGCATACTGAACGCTTTTGGTTCATTAACTACAAATTACATATACTTTGCATTATTGGCAAACATCTTTCAAAAACCAAAATCAGTTTCTAAATTGACTTCCAGTCTTCCAGGAAGCAGCACAGTGCACCATCAAAATCAACTTGCAGAGACTCAAAAGCAGGAGGCTGTGTTGATGCTGGGAAGGTGAAATATGATTCAGGACGTCCCATGAGTTTGAAGCTGAGCCCTCTTCACTGTGACTCCTACTTCATCAGTACACTGGTCACATCGAAATGAATAAGGAGGGAGGGAGGTTTTTTTTTCGGTGTCTGTGTTGGTCCGAACAGGGACTTAAGGTGGATTTACAGTCCTGCTTTAAGGAGTTAAAGCAAAGCTGCAGAACCTACGCATGTAAGCTTGTCGGCTCCCCAAAAAATGTAACTTGGTGCCCGACCACGAGCTGCAGCATCCACAGTTCAAATCTGGCAGTTGCAGAAAATCGTGGGTTTCTTCCCGTCTCTTACCAACAGTCGACGGTCGTTTCTCCTCACCAGTTTAAACACGGATCCCTGAACTTAACTGAGTAGTTTTAGTTGCTTTAACCAGCTCTTAACCATAGAGCATTTTACATTCAGTGTTTAGCAGCAATGTGAGACAGTGAAGTGAAATCCAGTGTGTACTCTTCACCATCTGCACAGATGCAGAGCTGTCAATGAGCCGTGCAGCTGTGGAGAAACAAAATCATGTAATATCAACGAGTAATGAATGAAAAGCGACTAACGAAGCCGTGATGCTGAAGCGGCAGATGTGCATCACATTATGAGTAGATGGACCAGACGTGTCCTTTGCCGCATCGTTTTGGCCAAACGCCTCACAACATTTTCTGGCACTGCTCTTCCAAGAAACTGCAAAGAGACCCTGGATCACGGCCAATGAGGAGGGAACTACCTCGGCTAAATCAAGTGCTGTGTTGCAGGAAATATACATAAATATTTTCAAATCTCATGTTAATTGCTGGTGAACCTCCCAGACTGAAATAAATCTATTTTCAGCTCAAAGAACAGAACAAGTGTAATGTACTCGCTGACAACATTTAATAAACGCTGCCTGTTTCCAGTCATTAAATCATTAGAGAGGGAAATTTATATGAAGCATGTTTGGCTGGAAGGATCCATCAGTCCATTAATAAAGCAGAGAAACTCCACACATGGTTTTTCTTCTGATACTGGACACACAGTCAGGATTTAGACCCTGGTATGAAGTTTAAATCTGAGAGGGAACATGCTAAAATGGAAAATTGAGCTTGTTTTGGTGTTAAAATTTAACTTATTTTTTGTACTTTTGGCCATCATTTCTGTTGGTTATGAAAACATCGGTATCAACAATTGAGAAACGGGAACACAGAGACATCCAACAGGGACAAATAATACTCACCGTAACTGTAACCAAGCTGACAGTTTAGCCAGATTATGTGACTGTGTCCAAAGCAGCAGTGTTACTCAGCCATGTGTTGCTGCTGTATGTGATCGTGACATAATTACAACAGCAGGTCACAAAACCCAAGTTGTAATAAACAGGAATTATCCATCCATCCATTAACTGTGCTGCTTATCTTTTGAGGGCATGGACTGTAAATAAATATGGAAGTCACCCATGGGTTTTTTGGGGAGCGGTTTGGATGCTCAGAGCGAGCTGCTTCACTGTCGCCATCTTGGCAGTGCCTGACTCCGCCCCCAACTTCTGGCTAATTGAAAAAAGGGCAAAGAGGAGGGGCGTGTGTGGGGTTGAGACTTTGGATCATGCCAGTTTCTGTCAATCAAAGAGGCCACGCCCTAAATTCTCCATAACTTTAGTATAAAGTATATATATTTTTTACTATAAAATGTAAACAGGTGAGTTATATAAACAGATGTCATGGAGGTGGAAATTAGCCGTAGAGACCAAAACTGTTTTTGTAGCAGACATTTTAACATGGGAGTCTACGGGGATTGACTCACTGTTGGAGCCAGACTCTAGTGGTCATTAGAGGAACTGCAGGAACTTTTTAGCACTTCCGACCCAGAGGTTGATGCTTGTTTGAGGGTCGCAGGGGGGGCTGCAGCCACCCCCAGCTTACATTGGGCGATAGGCAGGGTACAGCCCGAACAGGTCATCAGTCCATCACAGGGCC